GCATACATGCGTACATACCCCACATAGGCAAACAATCTGCGACAAACTGCAAATCATTTTATATACATACATATATATATACCAAACAGAATAAAGGAATAGCAAACAGAAATGAAAGATTTATACATAATCAGTACAGCACCGCATAGTATGAAGAATAACCAGACCATATACATATACATACATATATAAATACCTGTGCATGGGCCGCATCCTATGTACATGCATACACATACACACATAACATGCATACATAGTATATATGAGTGTGGTCCGTTATTGGGCATCTCCATTAGTTTACACGATTCAACTATTTAACCGTTACCTCGTGTATCGGCTATCGCTGCAGTCGCAAGCAACTGGCGACTCATACTCACCACGACACCACCATTCTCACCACAGTCTCCGCAGTGGGACTCTCCACCACTCCATCATTAAGCTCGTTTCGGAGTTTTGTTGTTTATGATAAACTGTTTATAGCTGTTTTTCGAATTTTAAACAAATTATATTTACTATATGAAAGATAAAACTCAAATAAAAAAGATCAACAAAAAAAAACTCGTATATAATAGTATACATAATACTTACAAGTATATGTTTTAAAAGCTCTTACCAAAACTTTATTGCAAACTGAATAACTGCAAAACGAAAACGATTAAATTATATTATTGATTAAACTGCATACTACATTATATATACGTATATATATATTGTATATGATGCAACTGTATTGCAAGCAACAAGTATATAATTTTATTTCCAAATAAAACAAAATTGAAAAAAAAAAAAAAAGAATTTAAAGCAGATAGCAGATGTATGCGGACGCTCCAGCCGCACACCGAAAATAACGGCGTCTGTAGATATATTAAACCACAAACACACTGATGTGAACACACAAATGAAATGACATGAAATGATGAACGTTTATAAAGAATAAACAAATGTTTGAAACTATTAAAACTATCCTCTTAACTCGTTTTATTTCTGCTTCCTCAAATAGAAAGGACTATATGTCAATGTCAAATGTCAAATATAAATTCGATAACTCCATAGATTGTCAAACCGTCAAACGAATTTCCATCAATAAATTTTTAAAATCATTAAAGTTGGCCAACTATATTTTCAATTGGATTACATTTGACATTGATTAAGCATGAAATATACTACTCACAAGATAATTGAAGCAATAATGGCGGATCAAACAATAAAACACGTATCCACGGCACGTATATTGCTGCTCGGCGAGGCGGGTTCGTAGGCGTCTACCATCATAATGACTGCAACTCTAAATCAATGGGAATTTTTTTGGTAATTTACAGGTGTTGGTAAGTCGCGACTAACAGATCTACTGGCCATGAGCATTGACACGCCCACGCACTCCAGCAGGACTGTCGGAAACCTCTGGTGGAGTGTGCAAGTGCGTCTGCACGAGTATCCATCGAACAAGGGTATGCCGCCCACACCCGAGTGGACATCCGCCTCATCGCCCAGTTCCTCGTCGCACAGCTCCGAGCCGTTTGCCTCGTTCAAGGGGTTTCGTGACCGGGCGGCAAGCGCATGCGAGATGATTCCATATTTTGTAGAATTCTATGATCTAAAGAGCTCCATGCGAATGCCGCGCGAGCATAGGAACCGCCTCTTCCGGAACATCGATGGCATTATATTAGTGTACGATCTGTTAGATATGCGCACACACGACAATCTGCACGACTTGCTGTACCATCCCTTGCGCCAGATCTGCCGATATCGCCATAATCGCCTGCGGCCCATATTGAGCCGTCACCACGTACCCATCCTAGTGGTGGGCACCAAACTGGATATGTTGCAATCACGGCGGCTGCACCGCTCGGGTGGCATCGCCTACCAATTGAGCACAGATGAGATATTGCTCAACTGCTTGGACACCGACAGCTTTGCGGAGAAATCGCGTAACGAGGCCAAGTTACGCAAATTTCTTAACAATGCCATCGACTTCAAACATTTTTTTCCAGCTAGACGTAACTAAATTTACATATGCTTTTATCGGTATATTTTGTACATTTTACTTTTGTAGTTTTAATTTGAATAAGCTGTATTTATTCTCTTCAAATTTTGTTTATTTGGGTTGATTCCAGGTAATGCTGACATTAGCCGGGTGGCCACTGCATTTGGCGACCGCCCAGGAAGTGCAAATGCAAATGGTAGACAGATTGGGCGCCGTGCTGTCCGTTGTTGATGACCACACGATAGCCCTTCTCCAAGCCTTGCTCCTTGGCCACCTTCCGACCGACCATCAACAAATGGCCCAAAAGCTCGCCGTCTCCCTCTTCAGCTGTGGAGAGCTGCGTAATCGGCTTGCGTGGTATGACCAAGAAATGGGTTGGCGCTTGGGGTGCAACATCATTGAAGGCCACACACTATAATCGAAAGCAATTGAGATAGTGATATACTAAATAGATTAATGCCCTTTGCACCTACTTTGTCGTCTTCGTAGATAAATTTGCATGGAATTTCCTTGCGTAAAATCTTGCCGAATATGGTGTCTTCGGATGCGGCTGCGCTCTGCGCCTTCTCTACCTCACTTGCCATTCTGGCGCAGGTAGTTGAAATGCTGCGATAACTATGAGATCTCGAATTATTATAATTGAAAATAATTATGTTTTTACAACTGCGCAGCTTACCGAAAAAGTCCAGCTAAATTCCGGCCGGCCGACACGAACATTGAAATAGGTGCTGCCAACTGACTTGTTTTTGCTTAACCTTAACTGTCACATGAATCCACATAATAAGGTTGCTTCGATAATGGAACTATCGCTATGCTGAAACGAACTACGTCATCTATTGCAATAATATAAATTCAAATAATGAAAGTTGACTTCAAGCTTAATAAATATTATTGATAAATAAAAGCTCAAAGATATATTATATTTTCTATAGTAAAAACATATTAATTTAAATTTAGCCATCACAACATGGAATAATTGATATTTGCATGGCGCTGCCAACTCGACTGCACTTATATTCGTGAAGAGCTATCGATTGTATAACCGTTTCACACACGGTCACACGGACAGTATTTCGGCATTGGTCATCTGAGCACCGAGTGTAAAGCAACAAAGAATATAAAGGTTTAGTTTGTATTTTGCATTTAACAATAAAACAAATACCTTTGATTACTGGTGATGTCACAGCTGCGCTCGAAAGTTATCAGTCTCTATAAGCACGTAAGTATTAACGCAAACATTTGGCAGCACAAAGCACGTGCAGCTGCACTGCTGCAGCAGCGATTGTGGACCAAGGGCGCATTTTGAAGGGGGAAACGGTAATAACGTTGCGTAAATTCCATTGCAGTTACAATACCTGGGCCGTGACTACCCCGGCCTAAATGGGCCGCAAAAGTTTCGTAAGCAAGTGCACGATGCTTTCATGAAGAATAAGGATGAGACAGATCCCAAAAAGATCGTCGCTCTGCTGGCACAGGGACGATACCTCGCCAAAGAGGTGGAAGCGTTATATTCGTTGAAGAAGTATCGTACAATTAAGCAGCGCTATAACGATTAATGCGGAAATGCAAATTGAAGGACTGAAAAAGAGAATATGATATATAAATATACTTTATTTTTATTTTATATTGCTTTTTCGAAAACAAAGCCAAACGTATAACCACAAGCAAACCCAAACACACACACACACACACACACCTATTGAAAGCAGCACACAAATGCGAAACATTGTTATTTTCGAATGTCTTGTCAATGTTTAACTTTAAGTTATTGTTGAATAAAAGCAACAGTCATTGAATAAGCGAAAGACACACACATACAAATATGTATGTGTAAAAAATTAATAAATGACCTTCATTTTTCGTGGGGGCAGGTTGTTATTTCTGTTGAGCCACTGGATACTGTTGCCAAATTATTGCCACGGGTTGATGGCCGTGCAGAATGCGTTTGCCTGCGGCGCCTGAACTTTGTTATTGACAAAAACTGCGTATTTAAAATTCAGTTGTATTTCATCTACATATGCCTATGTATGTCTATGCTGTCTGTCTGCCTTCCTATGTGTTGGTGATAAACAACGTTGACGCCGACGCCAGCGACGCGTCGCGACGTCGAAATCAAATTTAGCTTCAGCGATAACTGCTGCTGCGCACCCTACTAAAAGCTTTCTGCTACATTACCCCCTCAATTAGGGAGGTTCTTAGAAATCATTCGAAAACGATAAGAAAATTGCTTTCAGTAAGTATTAAGTATATATGTATATAGATATAAATTATATGTATACAGGGTATAAATGCACCGGTATAAGCATATTCAACTTGATTTTACGTTCGTTGCCGCTACAATACGTGATGAAATCGTGAGGGCTTGCCTTGCAATCGCAAAAGCTTGTCAACGTCAATGATCATGGAATGTTACTATAAAAGTATTTTTACCAAGACCACTAACCAGACAAGACGCATACGTCCAGTATACCTGATAAGAGGGTTCATTGATGCCGCTAAAAAAAACGTAAAATGCTCGCAGCAAGGAAATAGCATATACAAATTTCATATCCCTTTACATTC